TTTGAATTTAATTTTCAGGCTACCGCCATGGAGGATGCTTTTCACACGTTATCTAACGTGAACCACCTACATCATACACTCCATCCAGATGTGTTGGCGGCATTCCAACAGGCCAAGAGCCTTCTATACAGTTCTCTGGCTGTCAGAGGCGGAGACGTCGCACAAGGGATGTCGTCGAGCCAAGTTCTCTCGCAGGAGAGCTACGTCCGATCCCAGAGGACGCAGTCACACCGGGCAAGGCATCGACCTGCTCCCAACATTGGTGGAGGTAGAAGACGACGCGACCGCCAACCCGCTGCCGACACCGTGCTTCAGGAAGAAGAAGAAGAAGGTGAAAATTTTTAACTTAACACAAAAATATAATTTTATTTATTTTTTGTGATTTTTGTTAAGTCGAATTTCTGATTTCTTAAAACAATGAATTACTCAGCTGAAGAAGAAGAAGAAGAAGAAGAAGAAGAAGAAGGAGAAGAACCTACCACGCCCACAGCATCATCTTCTTCACGACCACCACGGCGTCGGGTGGGCTCCCGACTGCGCAACCCTACGAATCGATACACTCCTAGTTAGTTGTGTTGTATTCCGGGAATATTGTGGACATATATATTTATTTTTTTCTTTCTTGGACATATTTTATGTGTAATGATATTTGGACATATTTGGATTTTTATATTTGGAGAATGAATTATTGTGCTTCATTTTTCTTTCTTTGACGAATGGATTGATATGAGCTTGTGTAATTAATATTTGGTTGTGAATCGATCTCGATTAACAGGTGTGTTTTTGTAATTTTTCTGTAATTTTTGTTGTTTCTGCACAGTAAAACGTATTTTTGAAATACGTTTTATTAAAATTAATTAGGGCAAAATCAATTTGGGGCTAAAAGTAGGGCAAAATCAATTTGGGGCTAAAAGTAGGGCAAAATCAATTTGGGGCTAAAATTAGGGTTAAAAAACGTATTTTCAAAATACGTTTTATATTTTTAATTATTATTTTCTGGAAAAATTTGTTTTCAAAATTGTAAATATTAATTTTATTTATAAAACGTATTATTGGAATACGTTTTATAATTAAAAAATAAATATATAATTATTTTTAGTTATAAAACGTATTCTAGTAATACGTCTTTGTTTTTTTTTTAACTTAAAATGTATTTAAGTAATACGTTTTACCATATTTTAATTAACTTAATTACGTTTATTACGTTAATTAATTTTTTTTTTGCAGAAACGAATTCATTAAATGCGTTTTACGAATAAAAACGTATTCTTTAAATATGTTTAATATTGAAAAACGGATTTACAAAATACGGCCTTTTGATTTTTTTCCACTCCTTTTTTTTTGTCCACTTTTTTTTTATTTTTAAATAAATAAAATATTCAGGTAATTTGAGTTTATTAATAATTATAATAACAATTATAAATTATAATAATAATTATATATTATAATAATAATTATTAAATATTATAATAATAATAAGTTGAATAAATTGTAATTAATTATAAATTCTAAAAATAATATTAATAATTATAAATTATAAATGCTTATAATAATAATATTATAAGAAATAATAATAATAATTTGTAATGATAATTATAATTAAATATAATAATAATTATAAATTAGTATTTAATTATAATAATTTAAATAAAAAATTATAATAACTATTATAAATCTCAACAATTATAATAATAATAATAATTAATAAAATTTATATATGAAAATAAAAATGAATTATAATCTATTTTAATAGTTATTAGAATAGTCATTACATATGGAAAAATTTAATAATTATATTTCTGATTCAGGGTGTTAGCAGACCTGAAAAATCTAATGCCAGGGACGACGACGAGGCGTTCGATGACTATTATGATGGTTCTGGTACCCGACATACTAGAATTCGGGGTGTCAATGCGTCCGTTCGTTGGGACAGACAGACGTTAATCGATGAGGCTCGGAGGGTAAAGACTCTTCAGGCTAGGCAGAGTTCGAGACCCTCCGCACCAGCACGAGATGGTCCACAGGGATATCATTTTGAGGGTCAGCCAGATAGTTCGCGACCCCACGGAGTCCTCCCGTACGGCGAGCATGGATTTTATTATCCTGGCCAGGCGGGCAGTTCGATGCCCCCGGCACCAGGACCGTATGATCACTCGGGATATGCTTTTCTCTGCTACGCAGGGAAGTCGATACCCCCCCGCGCACGCGTACCATTACCTTATGGTCAGCAGGGGTATGCTGATGAGTCGTACGGCGAGAGGGAGTAGGGTCCAGAGGAGTATGACTCGGACGACTCTTCAGATGATCAGGACCACGCACAGCCTACGGGTCCTAGCCACCCTCGTCCTCCTGTACAGTCTGTTCGTCCGGTACAGCCGGTTCTACAGCAGGTTCGTCCGGTACAGGCTGTTCGTCCTACACAGGCTGCTCCTCAACGACAGGCTGGGGGGCATTTTGGCCCATTTGCATCCTCATCAGGTAAATAATTTAAGTATTTATTGTTGTTTAACATAAATTATTTTCACTTAATCATAACAAATTATCGGTACTGTTAGAAAAGTATTATCGGTCTGCTCCTCAACTACGGTATAATTATTTTGTAATTTAGAGGAACCATACAATTAATCAGTTAGAAAATTATTATAATTAGTTTTATTATTGTTATAATCAATTAATGTTACATAATAAATTAGTTTAAAATTTTTATTATATTTTATTAATGTAAAATGTAACGTTTGTACATTAATTGAAAAAAAAAAAAGAACCGGAAACTTATGAAATATGTTTTATTAAATATATTTTATTTAATGCATCTGCCAGCAAGTCAATATATACAGATATGTTGTATTTTAATGCAGGTACTAGCAGACGAGCTAGGACCGATGATGATGCACCCTGGATCGTTAAAGGCCCAGTGCCCGGTGGGCCCATTGATGGGAGTGTCATCCCTAGCTTTCTAGGGCACATCGCCTCCCGCATGTGGAGTGGAGATTTGAGGGGGCCGCTGAAATGCCACAACAGACTGAGAGCGGTCGAGAATCTGAAGGCTTGGCGTGAAGAGATGTCTTCCGATGCGAGAGCTCTTCTCGACCAGACCGGGCTGTCACATTTGGCCGACTCCATGCACATCCACTTGGACACCCCACTCCTTTCTGCGTTTGTGGAGCGATCGCAGCTGGATACTCACTCGTTTCACTTGCCTTTTGGTGAAATGAGTATCATGCTGCACGACGTCCAGGCCATTTTGTGTTCGGATCGGATTCTGCATAAACTGTATACTCGCTACTCACGGCCAAATGTATAAGCTGGGAAGGAACGTCTCTACCGTCGAAACTCTCTTTCCGCAGCTATCTCTAAAGTTATATACCTGTCACCGATTAGCGTTAATTATAATTATTATTATAATTTAAAAAAAAAATATATTATGTTAATAAATAAAAAAGTATATTAATGCGATTAATTTGATAAAAAAAAATTTTAACTATCACAATAATAATACATTAGTAAATATAATAAAATTTATTAATTATTACAATAACTTTTACAGATAAAAAATTACTAACTATCATAATTAACTTCAAAAAGTTAATTGAAACATATATTACAAGATATAAATATATATACCTGTCGCATATGAACGTTGTCTCCCGGATTCTTTTCCTTCAGCGCGGCCATAATTTTTGCCGGGGCCACCTGAGCGTCCGTCATATCACGAACAATTTTCTTAGATGAAGCGTTGAGGCTGCTCAACTGGCGATGACCCTCAGGATACACAGCAAATGTATGGTTATGGTAGCCCTTCTCTTCATTGCTACATCTACAGATCCTCCAGTATGGAGCGCCCGATACCTTTTTTACTTTGATCTCAAAATTGCAGCCACACTTATTCGTTTTTGTCTTTCTAGAATTTTCGCCTGTGCCTCTGTACCGTTCGCCTCTATGGCACTTCAAAAGTCTGATCGTTTTCTTTTGTGGCTCGAAATTATTAATAGGAAACCATTCAGCATTGCCTGGTGTTTTGTAGCTTCAATAGCGTCCTGAGCACTATTATATAATGTACAGGTATCGAAATGCAGACTGTAATCAACACCATCTCTTCCAAAATCTTCCCATGACTCCTGCTATATAGTACAATATTTATATTTTTAGAACATGTTAAATTAAGATAATTAATTCTAGCATGTAACATAATAATTTGTAACTCATAACATGATATTATCTAACGTCCAATTTATAGCATAATGAAGTCTAACATGTAACACAATAATTTGTAACTCCTAACACGATCACGATAATATCTAACGTCCAATTTATAATATAATCAACTATAACATGTAACATAATAATTTGTTACTCCTAACACGATATTATCTAACGTCAATTTATAACATAACCAAGACTAACATGGAATATAATAATTTCTAACTCGTAACACGATAATATCTAACGTCCATTTTATATTATAATCAACATGTAACATAATAATTTGTAACTCCTAACACGATAAACGTCCAATTTATAGCATAATCAAGTTTAAAATGTAACATAATAATATAGTCTAATTTATAACATAATTATTTCGAATATATAACATAATAATTTAAAAAAAAAAAAAATTTATCCGACCGGCCGTTGTTTTCGGACGGCTTTTAAGCCGTCCAGCCGGCCGGTTCGGACATAGCCCGTCCGACCGGCCGAACTTTTCGGACGGCTTTTAACCCGTCCAAAAAGTTCGGCCGGACGGCTTATAAACCGTCCGGTTCCGGCGGCCGGACGGGCTAAAAGCCGTCTGGTTCCGGCGACCGGACACAAAAATTTTCGTACCTCCGAATTTGACGACATTTCACCGTACACTTTCCTCTGAGATGTTTAGAAAAAATAAAAAGGACAAAATCATTCAAAGGGGACGATGAGTAGTAAAATGGGGCGCTAAATAGTACACCTCTTAAATGCTCCCGAACATAATTTTCATATTGTTTACTAAATCCAAATCAGAAAAGACTACACGTCAGTCAATGGCATATATGAACCAAACACCTGGCAGCCCCTCTCTCTTTCTCTCCCTCTCACACACATACGCACGCATAGGAGCTCATATTTCACACTCACATCACAGACGATCAGAACACAGAGCAAAGCTTTGGTAGGAAACAAGAGATTCCCGATTTAAAAAAAGAAAACTATGCACTTGATAAATGCGGCGGCCCTTTTATTGGTGGCAATCAGAAACAGCGGCGGCGGCGGCGGAGCATTGGGCGCCGAGATAGAGTTCGGCACGGTGTGGTGGTTCGTGTATGCCGGCATATCGTGCGTGCTGGTTCTGTTCGCCGGGATAATGTCGGGCCTGACATTGGGCCTCATGTCATTGGGTCTAGTCGACCTTGAGATCCTCCAGCGCAGCGGCACCCCGGACGAAAAGAAACAGGCTTGTTGGCCCACAATCCCATCGTAACATAAAAAAAAAAAAAGTTCAATTCTTTGTTTTTGCGTTTGTTTGGATATTTGATATTTTGTCTTGTTTTGGTTACTGGTGATTGATGCTGAGATGGGTTTGTCTGGGTTTTGAATTTTCTGATATTATGTGATGTAGTCATGTAGATTGAGTTCTGTTTGGGAAAAAAAGAAACTAAAAAAGAAATGAATTAATGGGTTCTGTAAGAAATAGTTGGTTAGAACTTAGGACTGAGATACTGTGAATTTTTACTGATATTAGTATGAACTATTGTCTTATGGTGGTTTGATGTGGAAAAGATGTGATTTTTACTGTGATAAATGATTTAGAAGTAATTTTGCAGTTTGTGATGGTGAATATCAATGTTTGATATAGCTAATACTGTGAACAATGTTGGCAGATGAAGTTTAGTTTCAATTATACTCTTGGAATTAGAATTATTATGAGCATTATCCTGGTGGGTTGGCATAAAATTGATGTTGGTTTTCAATTGTTTTCAGCCACTATACTCCCAGTGGTTCAGAAACAGCATCAGCTTCTTGTGACATTACTTTTATGTAATGCTGCTGCAATGGAGGTGCCATCTCTCTCTCTCTCTAAAATATTTCTGAGCATTTTTTATGTAGATTTGTAATTTGCAATTTTTTCTTAACAACATTGCTGAAGTTTTTTCTTACCTATCATTCTCGCATCTTGCAGGCACTTCCGATTTACCTGGATAAGCTTTTCAATCAATATGTTGCAATTATACTGTCAGTGACATTTGTTTTAGCATTTGGAGAGGTATAAATCTGTCTTCAGATTTAACACTATTTTGATTATTTCTGTGGTTTAATATTTCATGGCTCGGCTTTATGTTGTCAGGTTATCCCTCAAGCAATATGCACCAGATACGGACTTGCGGTTGGTTCTAATTTCGTGTGGCTTGTTCGTATTCTGATGATCATTTGCTATCCAATTGCTTACCCAATTGGCAAGGTGATTTTTCGTTAAGCAGTTGACGGTGATTATGGTTGGCTATGATCTTGCCATTATACTGAACTTTCACTGAGTGCATGTCTACGTAACCAGTTTCTTTTTATTTTTATTTATTTATTTATTGGGAATATACTGGGTATGTTGTTGTTGTTGTTGTATTTATTTATTTCCAATGAATTTAGATACTGGATTGTGCTCTGGGGCATAATGAGGTCCTGTTTAGACGAGCTCAGCTGAAAGCTCTGGTTTCTATCCACAGCCAGGAGGTAATTACAATTCCAGACATCTTTTACTTTTTTTAGCTCTTCTATAGTTGCTTCCGCATAATTTTTAATGAAAAATTTCCAATCCTTTCTGTTCATCTTCCGGAAATGATAGTTTAATCTGCTGTCAACATTCTAGTTTTGTAAAGTCATTTGTAATTTTATGTTTTCAGGCTGGTAAAGGCGGTGAACTCACTCATGATGAGACAACGATCATTAGCGGAGCATTAGATTTGACGGAGAAGGTATGTTCTTCATTTTTGTTTCTAGTTAATACCAAACTAGAAGAAATAAGTTTACATGGTCTTTTAAGAATTTTGTTCAATGCTACAAACTTGGCATTGTTATATCTTTATTTATTTATTTATTTATTTTTGTGTGTGTGCATCTCGACTCATTTAATTGCAACTGTAATCAGACTGCTGAGGAGGCCATGACACCAATCGAGTCGACCTTTTCACTCGACGTGAATTCAAAGCTTGACTGGTAAGAATTGTGCATTGAGAAATTCTTATTTACTTAAAAAAAAAAAGTTAAATGTTCAGCTGTTTTTATTTAATTTTACTTTTCACTCCTCACGGTAAGTTATTTTTCCTTGTCTTAGGGAGGCAATGGGTAAGATTCTGGCTCGTGGTCATAGTCGTGTTCCCGTTTATTCTGGGAATCCTAAGAACATCATTGGACTTTTACTGGTAAATTTCTAAAAAACCTTTACTCTTCTTTATCACTTACGTTTAGTTACAAAAGCCCAGCTATCATTTAAGATTGACATAATTTCAAGAACCCAGCTAAGTTTAAAAATGACAAAAGTAAGCCTGAAGACTGAAGTTTGAATCAATTTCAAATTAAGGACCCACCTGTAATATTTTTGTGAAGTTGTAAGGGTATTCTGATTATTATTATTATTTTCTCAAGAAGGGGTTACATTACATGTAGGACAAACACTCAGGTCCACTTTACAATCTTTTTCGGTAATTTGAAGTTCGATGTTCTTTTTAACTAAGTTAATCTCAAGGTTCCTTTCTTAATCCTTAATCTCAAGGTAAAGAGTCTTCTCACAGTAAGACCAGAGACCGAGACCCCAGTCAGCGCTGTTTCTATTCGTAGAATCCCACGGTACCATTTTAGATTATTTAGTTTCATAATATGATCCAAAAGTTCGAAAAAAAAAGGATCTTTTTTTTACACTGTTATTTCCCCAGTGTCCCTGCAGATATGCCCTTATATGACATACTTAACGAGTTCCAAAAGGGCAGCAGCCACATGGCTGCTGTTGTGAAGCCCAAGGTCGAAAGAAAAAGGCCTTCCCCATCTATTATTGAGAAATCCGAAGAGAATGAGGTCAAAAATGGAAATTCAGACTTAACTACTCCTTTGCTGTTGAATAAAGATGACAATGTGTCGAGTACTGTAGTTGTGGATATCGACAAGGTCTCGAGAAATAACTTAATGTCTAGTGATGACTCTGAAGAAGGTGAAGTTATTGGCATTATTACTTTGGAAGATGTGTTTGAAGAACTTTTGCAGGTATTAACAGTAAAAATACAGTTATATTGTTACTTCATGTAGTTTGAAGAAGACTTTAATCTTTTCTTTTTTAATCATTTTACTTTCATGATTTATGAGTGTAGGAAGAAATTGTTGACGAGACGGATGAATACGTTGACGTACACAAAAGGTACTTAAAACCTGGAAAGCTGTAGTTTCATTTCATGTGGTGATAGTTACAAGAAATCATCGTTTTTTTGTTTGTAGGATACGTGTGGCGGCAGCTGCAGCCGCCTCATCAGTCGCACGGGCCCCTTCGCTTCGCAGATTAACGAGCCAGAAAGTAAACACGAACATAAGTGACCTGGATAAAAATTGTTTGTTATATATACGAATGCAAATACATTAGAATTAGTCTAACTTAAAATATTTCCTTCTAACATTCTGACCATACCGAAATTTCTTATGCTGTAAATATTGGTAATCTTTAGACACACGATTTTATTTTATTTTTTCTGTTTTGTATGACATTCCTTATAGTTGCTTGCTCTAAATTTTTTCGCTATTCATCTCGAATCTTTTACGCAGGTTGGCCAACAGAAGCAAGGACAGCTGCCGAGAAAACCTGGTGAAGATGACTCCACTTCTGCCAGAAAGACCACACAGTGATTATAAATTGAAGTGTTCCGAATTTTCGCAGAGAGGTATTTTGTTGATTTAGTGATGGAAATAAGAGTTTTAGTTGTGATATAGTACTTTTTTTAAAAACAACTGTATTATAACTTTATAACTTCATCTGCTCTGGTTGCAACATTATGCTTGTACTTCTCTTAATAAAGCTCCAGAATTGAAAACATTATACAGTTTATTGTATGTTTTGCTATCTTTGAACTTTAATTTTGTTATTTTGGAAGCAAAATGTACTCTTATTGCCTTGGCACACACATATATACACATGTGGGTGTACGTCGATCCAATGGTTGAAAACTAACCATACCGGTTGGGTGAAATTCACCGTAAAATACATGGACTATTATTAGCAACAAATATGTAAATTAATGACTTGCAATTTACTTTTGAAATTTTGGTATCAAGAGATGGTCAACCCTGATGATCCAAGGTCAAGAGTCTTGGTAGAATGAACAAATGAATGAAGTTCAGCCAAATTACAAAAATGATTGAAGTGTAGCCATATTATAAAATGGAAAAAACAAGTCTCGATATTTTTTTTTCCTATTACACTATATTTAGGCCTTGTTTACTAGCCTTGATAGGATGGGATAAGGTTGGTTAACCAACCTTATCCCATCGTTTACTAAAGAGGATTGAGATAAGGATACAGATGACGTGGCATGAGTTCCCGCACGCGTGTATCCTTGTTGGCGGGATAAAAAATGATAAAATTATCCTTGGTCTTAAATGACCTTTATTTAATTTAAAATAATTTTATTTAATTTAAAATCATATTATTTAATCTAAAATATTTTTATTTAATTTTAAATAATTTTATTTAATTTAAAAAATGTTGTTTAATATGAGATATTTTTATTTAATTAAGAAATATATTAATTTATAAAAATATTAATTTATATAATTAAGTCAATAATTTTATAATTTATTACAGACTTTTATCCACTCTAGTAAACATGAGACAATTTGTATCCAAAATCTGATGTGGCAAATTGGAGGGATNATTTAAAAAATATTGTGTAATATAAAATATTTTATTTAATTTAAATTAATATTATTTAATTTATAAAAATATTAATTTAATTAATTAAATCAGTAATTTTATGTATGTATCATAGATTTTTATCCACTTTGGTAAACCTAGGACAATTTGTATCCAAAATCTGATGTGGCAAATTGGAGAGATTAATTTGTCCAATCCCATCATTTCTAGTAAACGAGGCCTTTTCTTGTTCTGTCTTTTAAAAACTCTTTTCAAGAATTATAAACAGTGATTGTGATATAGTGGTTTATCAAGGTGAAAGATAAACTGGGTTCCTTTTCTTGTTCTGTCTTTTATCTTTTAATTAGTCTAAACCTTAATAATTGTTACACATACAATAAAATTTCAGTTTACTTGCGTTCCTTGTATTTGTATATATTATGCAGTTATCCAACATTCTAAACAGAAAAAAATACACACATCCATCTCTATGAACACATTTTTATTATTTTTTTTGTTGAAAACGATATACTTGTATTAATAAACACTAAAATTATAGACTAAACAAAAATTGCAGACTAGACAACAACTAGAACAGCTGAATCAAACAACTAACCAAGCTGAATTCAGAAGGTTATACTCAAATGTAGCCTAGAGCCAAACAAACACAAATATCTACATTCTGCAAGTAGAAGACAGAGTTAAATTCTACATTTACTTTATTTTTTTCATAACACACAAGCTTCCTGTTCCTGCACATAAACCTCAAAGTTCTAATCTTTACATGCACAAAAAAACACAGGCTTTTCCACGTGTTTGCCTTTTTTCAAGACTCAATTTCCTAAAAAACAATCCAAAAAATAACGATACATTTCATTCTCGATTGTCAAACCTCACGCCTTCCAACTTCAACCTGATGAGAATAACCGAGCATCTCCACACGATGTAGAGACGTGTTTGTTGCTCCTGAACGTAACGCGAGCACTTCCGCCACGTCAGCGCCTGCTTCTGCACTCGAGTCGAGCCCATGATGATGATAATGGTTTGACTTTTTTCTGAAACTTCTGTTTTGTAGAATTGATCAGTTTATGAGTTGTTTTTTCTTGTCTTGGCAGCTAAAGTATGATCATGATCAAAATTGAGCCACTGGCTTTGGAAAAAAGTAAAAATACCAAAAAAAAAATGAGATTATAATCTGTTTTTCTGGAAGTAGAAACAGATGATCAAATATGAGAAATGGTAGATAGCTGCATGAGTATAGGGTCCCACTGTCTGGAAAAGATGACAGCTTGTAAAGGGTCCCACTGTCAGGAAGATGAAAAAATGCAGAGTCATCAGCTTGTTTTTTACTTTATAGTGTGTTATTATACAAACTATTCCAACTTGTTTTAATTTGTTATTTTTCTGAACCTGCAGCTGCTGTGTGAAAGGGATTTGGCAAGAGGAAGTGATTTTGAGGACAAAAATGGAAGCTTGTGAAGTTGTGTGTGTGTTGGGACCATTAGTTGAGTTCATGTGCCCTAAGAGCATATGTCTTATTCGACACGAGCACTTCATGTTTGAATTTTGTGAGCACTTCTGGTTTGATAAATGAGTCGGTTCAAGATCATGAAAAACTCGTCTTATTTAACAAATCCAATATTATAAACGCGTTGTTCGTGAACACGGTTTGTGCTTGCTTTCGTCAACATGCTCCGCTTGACTGTATGTTCGATTGGAATAAAAATTTTGAAATAAAAAGTTGAAAAAAATACATATGTTAAAGTAGCTTTACTCTTTATTTAAGTTAATTCATATTTTA